AACTCTTCCTTCTTTTCCTGTTGTTATGTTCTGAACACGAACTTCCAACAGCTGAGGGGGAGTAAGGAGAGGTTGGTCCAGTCTGTTTCTAGAGGAGTTCTCCCCTACTACATTCAGCAAATTTCTACTCTGCTCAAGAACGTTCAATAGCTCCCTATTGACTTCCGCTTACATTTCAAACACCAAAGCCCACCTTAATTTGAGCTATTCTGAACTGTATTTATTTTTGATTTCCCCAATTATCTCTCCCTTACAGTCAATTGGCCTTCCCGGTATGTTCACCTAGTGGAGACATGAGTGGGTCCAGAGTTATTCTAGGCAAACCTAACAACTAAAAAATAAGCAGAGGATGTGAGGTATAGAAGAGGCAGGAGAGGTAAGGATTGTTGGAATGATAAACTATCTTGAGGGACATACCAGAGATTTTGGACTGTTATTACTTATTCAGGAGCCATTGAAAAGTTTAGGCCTTTAGAATGATCAGTAGTTAAGGGGTTTGGAAAGGGGGAAAGGATTCCAGCCCACTTTGGCGTTACTGATAAAGTCTGCAGAACAGTCTATGTTCTGAAGACATAGCTGTGTATGGAGGCAGGGGCATGGATGAGATGGCCTTGAGCATCCTCCTCCTGGGGGGGAGGGGTGTTTCCAATTTCATCTTGGAGTAGGTTTGTCTCTCCTGCTGGCCAAAGCCCTTCTAGGAAGGTCAAGGTGAAAGGTGTCTGGGGAGGGCAGAGTATCATGACCAACAGAGACTGGGTTCACTTCCTCCTTTTCAGGAAGGAAATGCAGACAAAAATGGACAATGGACCAGAGAGGGTACGTCCAGCAGAGAAGAAGGGAGGAGCTGGTGGGGCTGTAGGCCTATAACGATTCCCTATGATCCCCCTTTGTCTGGAGGGCAAGCTTTCTTTTTTGGCCTGCAGGACCTTTTGTTGCAGCATTTCCTGGAAAGCCCCAGAGTAAACACAGCCAGCTCTACGTTCTTACAGCCTCGCTTTGCTGTGTCCCTTCCTCCCAGCAGAGAGAGGGGCAGGTGGGTCAGCCCTCAGAGGTCAACATCACTCATCAGGCTGCTGACAATGAAGGCTCCCATTACCATGCATTGGCACCAGGCCTGAGAGACCGTGATGAGAGCCACAAAATGCTTAACCACGATCGTAATTATCATCCTCAGCTGTACAACCAGGAGTTCCTAGGTGCTGTTTGGACACACAGGACGATGCAAAGCCCTGTGAACACACCTGGGCAGAGGTAGGGAGCCACAATCACACACAGGCCTGTGATGCCTGTGAGACCTGGTGTCTGGCAAGTCAGGACTCAGATTTCCTTTCTCGATTTGAGTGGGGCCTATTCCCACTGGTAAGAAGCGAGCAGGGTGAAGGCTGGGGCAGCTCTTGGCTGAAACAGGGGACAAGTGATAACATGACAACGAATTGGTATCTGGTAATAGCTTTGTGTATCCTGGGGATGGAGGTGTGAAGGTAAATGGGAAATGTGGATTCTTTCAGTTGAGGATAGGCATGGGCTTCCAGTACCTGCTTACCAGGGCTGGCTTCATCCAGAGAGGAGGCAGTAATGGCCATCCTCCCTCATCCAGGTGAGGGCAACGTGTGGTGGTGGTCTGACCTCAGGGATAATTTTGAGCCTCACAAATACCTTTACTCTGTGGAGAGGAAGAGAAAAAGAGACACCTGAAATTTGGGCAGATCATTCAGTTCTCTCCCAGGGCTTATTTATGGCTGCCAACAGGGATGCTATTAGCTGAGCCAACACTTTATTTATAGGGAAATTCAGTTCCCCCTCCTCCCTCACAAATGAAACCCACCCACCAGGTGTCCTTTCCACCTCCCCACTGCCTCTTCCTCTCAAAAGTTGGGGAGGGGACTTCCAGCCAAGAGGCCTCTCCTCCCTGCAGTTGAAGACAGTTACGTAATCCCGATTGTGAAATACTAGAAAGGCCAGGCTTGACGCAC